GGCTCAAGTGGTAGAGCACTAGCCTTGAGCTGAAGAGCTGAGGGACAGTGCCCAGGCCCAGAGTTCAGGCCCCACGACTGGACCCAAAAAAAAAAAAACAAACAAAAAAAACTATCAGGGCTGGGAATGTGGCTTAATGATAGAGTGCTTGACTAACATGCATAAAGCCCTGGGTTAGATTCCTCAGTACCACTTAATCAGAAAAAGCCAGAAGTGGTGCTGTGGCTGAAGTAGTAGAGTGCTAGCCTTGAGCAAAAAGTAGCTCAGGGACAGCACCCAGGCCCTAAATTCAAGCCCCAGGACTGGCAAAAAAAAAAGAAAAAATCTATCAACACAACTACCACCACCACCACAAACAGCAACAACAACAACAAAAACCCATGTTTCTATATCCTGGAATTCATATTTTAAATGATCAGAGGCATTATGCCTGGCTAATTGGAGGTAAGACTTTTCTGCCCAGGTTGATGTCCAACCTTGATCCTCTATCTCAGCCTCTTGAGTAGCTAGTATTACTGATATGAGCCACTGATGTATGGCTTACTGTGATGTTTCAAACTGAAATCATGGGCTGGGAAGGTGGCTCAGTGGTAGAGTGCTTGCCTTGCATGCATGAGGCCCTGTGTTTGATTCCTCAGCACCATATAAGCAGAAAAAGCTGAAAGTGGCACTGTGGCTCAAGTGGTAGAGCGCTAGCCTTGAGCTGAAGAGCTGAGGGACAGCGCCCAGACCCAGAGTTCAAGACCCATGACCAAAAAAAAAAAAAAATCGAACTGAAATCATCTTGGTAAGAGCTTTTTTTTGCCAGCCCCCAGCCCAGCTTTTTATTATTATTATTATCACCATCATTATTATTATTATAAAGATGTTGTACAGAGGGATTACAGTTTTACAAGTCAGGTAATGAGCACATTTCTTTTTGGAGAATGTCACCCCTTCTCTCTCTCTCTTCCCCAGTTTGTCCCATCTGTCCCATCTACAAGTTACATAGTTTATTTTATTTTTTGCCAGTCCTGGGGACTGAACTCAGGGCCTGGGCACTGTCCCTGAGCTTCTTTTGCTTAAGGCTAACACTCTACCCCTTGAATCTCAGTGCCACTTCCCAGCTTTTTCTGTATATGTGGTACTGAGGAATCGAACCCAGGGCTTCATGCTTGCTAGGCAAGCACTCTACCACTAAGCCACATTCCCAGCCGCATAGTTTATTTCCAATATAGTGTCTAGTGAGTCCCACTGCTGCATTTGCCCACCCTTTGTCCCTCCATTTCTGTGCCTCCCTTTACTCTCCCATAGACAAATAAATGGACAAACAAGACAAAGAACAAAAATAGCAACAAAGAGAAAATCTCCTGCTTCCATTACCTAGAGTTCTTTTCAATAAATATTATTTTGTGTGATAAAATGAACATAGGCATTGCACCTTTGTGTTTCTCTCCTAAGGGTGTCTTCCTTTGGTTGTATGAATGCCTAGAGTCCTGTATAATTTATCATGTCCCAGTGTATTTTAGATCTAGCTTTGCATATGAAAGAAAACTTGCACTGTTTGTTTTTCTGAACTTGGCTTACCTCACTTCAGCTCAACTTTTTTCTGGTTAATTGGATATGAAATTGTGTGGACTTTTCTGCCCAGGCTAGCTTTAGTCCTCCAGGTCTCAACCTCTTCAATACGTAGGATTATAGCCAAGAGCTACTGGCACTTTAACATTTATATATACATTCTACTTTTTAGCCTTCATTCCTTCTTTTGCTGATTTTAGAATACTTTTCAAATTTCTGGGGTTGGAGGCATGGCTCAGTAGAGCGCTAGCCAGTAAGCAAAAGCATCAGGTACAGAGTTCCAGTGTTGGTCTCAGCCCCACCCCAAAATGAAAAGAAGTTTTTTGTTGTTGTTGTTTGTTTTTTATAACTATAAAACTTCTTGCAGCAGGGCACCATTAGCTCACGCCTGTAATCCTAGCTACTCAGGAGGCTGAGATCTGAAGCTCATGGTTCAAAGCCAACCAGGGAAGGAAAGTGAGACTCTTATCTCCAGTTAACCACCAGAAAACCGGAAGTGGCACTGTGGCTCAAGTGGTAGAATGCTCGCCTTGAGCTGAAGAGTTCAGGGACAGCGCCCAGGCCCAGAGTTCAAACCCCATGACTGACAGAAAGAAAAAAAAACAAAACTTTCTTGCATTGTCTTTAATGGGTATTGTTTCTCTTTTTTTATGTGTGTGTCCCTGTCCTGGGGCTTGAACTCAGAGCCTGGGTGCTGTCCTGAGCTATTTTGCTAAAGGCTAGCAGTGTAGCACCTAAACCACAGCTCCACTTCTGGCTTTTTTTTGTAGTCATTTAGAGTCATTGTTTGTTTAGAGTCATTTGTTTGTTTGTTTTTTGGTCAGTCATGGGGCTTGAACTCTGGGCCCTGTGCTCTTCAGCTCAAGACGAGCACTCTACCACTTGAGCCACAGAGCCACTTCCAGTTTTCTAGTGGTTTATTGGAGATAAGAGTCTCACAGACTTTCTTGCCCAGGCTGGCTTTGAACTGCGATCCTCAGATCTCAGCTTCCTGAGTAGCTAGGATTACAGGCGTGAGCCAACAGCACCTGGCTGGAGTTAAGAGTCTTTCACAAACTTTTTTGCTTGGGCTGATTTTGAATCGTGATCCTCAGATCTCAGCCTTCTGAGTAGCTAAGAATATAGGTGTGAGCCACCAGCACCTGGCTCTCTTTTTGTTTTTTGGTTTAGTAGGGAATGAGTCAAGGGCCTTATGCATACTAGACAAGTGCTCTACCCAAAAGCTATATTCCCAGCCCAAGCATCAGTAAATGTTTAAGGATTCTTTCCTAAGAGCATGCTTGTAGATACTTTTAACTATATAAAAAACATTACCCACCTATTAATAAATGATAAACTTGGGAGAATAATGAAAAAATTTGTTGTAGCAATTACAGGTTTGAAATCAGGGCCTTGTGCTTGCAAGACAGATGCTCGGCCACCTAGCTACACTTTCAGCCCTTTGTGCTTTAATTATTTTTTCAAATAAAGTCTTCCTTTTTGTCTAATCTGTCTTACATTGTAGTCCTGTTTATGCTTCCTGTGTAGCTGGTATGACAGGTACACATCATAGCACCCAGCTTTTTTATTGGTTGAGATGGGGGGAGGTCTCAAAAACTTGTCTTGAATTACAGTACCTCCCCCCCTTAGCTTTCTGATTTGCTACATTTACAAGCATGAAACACTATATCTGGCTATGAAAATTAGTGTTTTCCTTTTTTTCCTCTTAAAAAATGTTTTGTTATCATGAATCTGATATACAGAGGTTACACTTTTATAAGTCAGGTAATGAGTACATTTCTTTTTGGAAAGTGTCACCCCTTCCTTCACTTTATCCCAGTTTTTCCCTCCTATCCTACCCACAAGTTGTATACAGTTCATTTTGAACATAGTGTCTAGTGAGTACCACTGCTGTGTTTGTTACTCTTTGTCCCTCCATTTCTGTTCTTTCCTCCCACCCTCACAAAGACAAATGTTTTTTTTTTTTTTTCCCTTTTTGTGCTGGTATTGGGGCTTGAACTCTGGGCCATGTGAGATCCCTTAACTTTTTTGCTTAAGTCTAGCCTCTGTCACTTGAGCTAAACACTTCTGGCTTCTTAGTGGTTAATTGGAGATAAGAGTCTCATGGACTTTTCTGCCCAGGTTGGCTTCGAACTTTGATCCTAAATAGCTAAGATTATAGGCATGAGCTACCCGTGTTTATCTGATAAGTAATTTTTACTTTTTGGAACTAATGGATGTGGTGCCATAGGAGAATATAGATCAGTGGTAACAGTCATATCTGTATTTTTTACATTGCCTGTCCTTTATTGCTTAGGCAATTCTTCCTGCTTTCACTAGTGTTTTAAAGTTCCTATAATTTCAGATTGAATGAAAGTGAATAGCCTCTGTGTTCCATTCTACAATCAGTAATAAAATGTAGTTTTGTTGTTGGTTTTTTATGAGTTTTTATATGTTGTCCAGGGTGGTCTTATCTTCATGGGCTCAAGTAATCCTCCTGTCTCAGCCTCACAAATAGGTAGAACTACTCATATGCTATAAAGTAAACATTTGAATCATATGAAATACAGAGAACTAGCCAGGTAATGGTGGCTCATGTCTATAATCCTAGCTACTTAAAGGCTGAAGTTGGAAGCCAGCTTGGCCAAACAAATGAAGGAGACTCTTATCTCCATATAACTTGCAAAAGAAAGCCTGAACTGGCTGGGTGCCGGTCGCTCACACCTGTAATCCTAGGAGGCTAAAATCTGAGAAGCCAGCTGAGGCAGAAAAGATCCCGGGAGACTCTTATCTCCAGTTAACCATCAAAAACTGGAAGTGGCACTGTGGCTCAAAGTGGTAAAGCACTAGCCTTGAGCAAAATGGCTCAGGGATAGAGCCTGGCCCTGAGTTGAAGCCCCATGACCAACAAAATTTAAAAAAAAAAAATAGCCTGAACTAGGGGCATGGCTCAATGTAGAGTGCCAGCCAAGAGCAAAAGCCAAGTGAGAGAGTGAAAGACTTAAGATCTATCCCTGCAGGGCACTGGTGGCTCTCGCCCATGATCCTAGCTACTCAGTAAGCTGTGATCTGAGGATCACAGTTCAAGCCAGCCCAGAAAACTGGAAGTGGCTCTGAATTGGTAGGGTGCTTGCTTTGAGCTAAAGAGCTCAGGGACAGTGCCCAGGCTCAGAGTTCAAGCCCATGACCGACAAAAAAAAAAAATCTATCTCCTGAACTGACACACACACACACACAAAAAACGCTTCCTAGAGGCAAAAGTTAATGTTGAACTGACACACACACACACACACACACACACACACACACACACACGGAGAAAACGCTTCCTAGAGGCAAAAGTTAATGTTGAACTGACACACACACACACACATGGAGACCCACACACACGGAGACACACACACACACACACACACACACACACACACACACACACACGGAGAAAACGCTTCCTAGAGGCAAAAGTTAATGTTGAACTGACACACACACACACACACACACACACACACACACACACACGGAGAAAACGCTTCCTAGAGGCAAAAGTTAATGTTGAACTGACACACACACACACACATGGAGACCCACACACACGGAGACACACACACACACACACACACACACACACACACACACGGAGAAAACGCTTCCTAGAGGTAAAAAGTTAATGTATTACTCTGCTTGATGCTCAAATGACCTTCATCATTTTGCAAAGTATGTACTTTGAAATTGGTCTGTAATTTTTCTTTCCTTTTTTGCCAGTCCTAGGGATTGAACTCAGGGCCTGGGCACCGTCCCTGAGCTTCTTTTGCTCAAGGTTAGCACTCTACTACTTGAGCCACAGTACCACTTCCGTCTTTTTCTGTTTATGTGGTACTAAGGAATGGAACCCAGGGCTTCATGCATGCAAGGCAAGCACTCTACCACTAAGCCACATTCCCAGTGTGGTCTATAATTTTTCTTACTACTTACCTCATAACTGTGTTTATTAAAGTTTTAATTCTGTTTTAGTCATTGTTATATACTTGTACTCTTGCTTTTCTTAACATAAATACTCTTTGAAATGGGCAGGGAAGCCTCCTGAGCTATCTCCACTTGTCTGTGCGAAATATGGCTGGGTCACAGTTGAATGTGACATGCTCAAATGTTCCAGCTGCCAAGCTTTTCTCTGTGCCAGTTTACAGCCAGCTTTTGACTTTGACAGATGTAAGTATAAAGTAGAGATTACATTTTCCTCCACAATCAAAGACTCAGTAGTTTTAGAACTGGCAATATGGGACACACTGAAATACTAACATTCAGGACACTGAAGCAGGATGGAGGATTTAAGTAAGACTAGCCGAGGCTATGTAGTTTCAGGCAGCTCCTAAGTTGGCTTGATAAATTGACTTTATATATTCTAAGTAATTGATAGTGGAATGTTTATTTTTTAAATGTTTTTTTATTGTGAAAATACTGTATAGAGTTACATGAACAAAGTAATGAGTATATTTCGTATCTAGCATTGTTGCCTCCTTCTTTGCTTTTCCCCTACCATCCTATCCCTCCCACCTCCTCAACTACACTCCCCCCCACCTGAATTGTAAAGTTCGTTTTTTTTGGGTGGGGGGGGGTTTGGGTCCGGTCGTGGGGCCTGAACTCTGGGCCTGGGCGCTATCCCTCAGCTCTTCAGCTCAAGGCTAGCGCTCTACTACTTGAGTCACAGCACCACTTCCAGCTTTTTTCTTTTTGCTTATGTGGTGCTGAGGAATCGAACCCAGGGCCTCATGCATGCAAGGCAAGTGCTC